GTTCAAACCTGTTTTAATATGGCCACTTCACAAATCATGAAAATCATGAAAAATCAAAATATCTGTGGATAATAACATGCTTTTAAATGATGAATAATTCATGGTTTGTAATTGCTCTTTAATAGACAATGGTGGCGAAATTGACATAATTTTTTGTAGCCAAAACTAAATGAAATTTGCCATGGCAACTGGCAAAGGGTTAGCAGAATTTTTTTTTATTTTTACCAGCTTGTGCGACTTTCTCATTTGATTAACGTATTAGTGTAGGATGTAATCTTGTTTATGTTTCTTTCACACAGTCATACGACCCCACAGTGGAGCAATGGATTGATTTCATTCCTAAATATATATTTTTCCCGTACTACTTAATAGCAAGATTTACATCGAATTGGATAGATGTACATGATTACACATGTTGGTTTATTTTCGTCAACTGTGTACTATTAACTTTTATTGAAGCCACTGTGTTTAGATGGTTATGGAGGCAAGGCCTAAGGTAAGTACTAGGTGCATTTACTGCTAAAGGTCTTCACATCCAAAATGAATGGGAGAAAACTGAGTACGTCTTGTCTCAATTCAGTCTATATGACAATCAATTCTGGGTACTGGTTTTTGTTTGTGACTGACAGGAATGAAAATGATTTTGGTGTGCATTCAACAGTGAGTGAAGACTTACCACTGCACATCTTAATAAGTTGAAATAGATACAGTGAATGCGATTGAACCCTTGCAATAGATAATATATGTGATACTCATAACAGAATATCTAATAGTATTCTGTGCATAAAAACGGTACATCATTGTATTATAGGGAACTTTATTTAACAAATGTGCATCCTTTACTATTATAACATTTCTTGCAGATCAATTCCATCAGCAATGCGGCGCCATCTTCTAGCCATGATTGGTACAACCATACTAGTTCTGATGTGGCCCGTCATACCATTCTTCATCTGTGATAGTCTTTTCTACTGGGCACTTTATTTCACACCTGTGTTGAATATTGAAAAAATCTTAAAAATTTTGAAAGGTTGAAAGTAGCAATGAGAGGGGTATAGGGTCTATAAATGTATATATAAATTATAAGAAAATAAATTTCAATTTCTAACATATTTTATGTTTTTAGCTTACTCTGGTAGTGATATTCGGAAAGTCAGAATGTTATTTTAAATGACTCCCAAGGTGGTTCTAGTGAATATGACACTACCGGCAACACCTGAGCGGAGCGAAATGGGCCACTCAGTTTAGTCACCAATAAGTTACAGTGATTGTAAAGTTATTTTCATATTACGCAAGGGACCCTTTATAAGATAATTTTTAACTAGTTTATGTGCTTGTGTTTTGTTCAGTTCACCATAAATTATATGTCAAATTAAATACACTATGACTATATTATGTAATAGGATGTGGTTTTGTAAATTTGTTTCAAGAGATTTGTTTCAGGGGATGAATTTGGTCTCCCAGATTGTATTTTTCACCAAAAGTTGGTGCCTTGCATACCCATATATAATTAATAGAATAATAATTCACTAGCAGAAATCCAAGGTCTGCAATGATAAGGTTTGTCTAAACAGTATTCTCTCCCAAGCAAATTCACTCGCATTGGGTTTTTGTTTGCACTGAAGTTAGTTGCAGGTAATCTTAGTGCCAATAACCTTTGAGTTTGAACACTAGTTTGTCGTATGAACAGAAACATTATTGCAGTGTGCAGTGCTTATTGATGAAACAATCATATTACTATTACTTAACAATCACTGTAACTGTTATTGGTGACTTCGCCATGTGGTCGTTCTGCTTTGCTCAGGTGTTATCGGTAGTATCTCACTACCAGTACAAGGATATTGTCTACTTGCAGGTGATTTGTTGTTGTTGACACTCTGATATCAGTTTGTATATTGACAACTTTAATTAATCAGTATCTGATTAGTAGTTTAGTTTTAGTGGTTTACATAAAACAGAGTGGGTAGTGTTAAATGACAAAAGAATTCAACATTTATTATCGGGTAACCAGGAGTTATCCAAAGATTACAACAATTAAAAATGACTTCTGCTTTACACCATTTGGCTACCAGTTTCCCTTTTCCTTTCTCTACCTCAGTGTTCCCCTTATAAAATTTAATTAAAACTGAAAATTCTTTAATGATATGTAAATGTGAGGATTACTGGATAATTTTTGAGAAACCATTCTTAATTTTCATGGAAATGCAAAACAGTCTTGTTGTATTTTTATTCTTGCATTTGATTGAAGTATACTTTTTTCTTGGAATGAATTATTTTCTGAAAATGTAGTTAATCTACTAGACAGCCAAGCAGAGTTTTTTTTTTTCATATTTTGTCCCCACTTTTTAAATGCATGTTAATACTGAGCCTGAATTACCTTCGTGGTGTCAACGCATCATGATACATCTTGTAACATATACTATGAAAATAGCTCATTGGTTCAGCATAAGCTGAAGTGTTGTTTGCATATGCATGGCATAAACATTTCACCCCATGTGTGCTTTATTTAGTACTACCATTTCAATAAGATAATTATTAACCTTTTATAAGACCATTAATCTGGAGTTGAAAATGGAAATATATAAATCATGTTTTTTTTGTAGTTTATGCACAAGACATGTAATTGTATAGCTTAATAGCAATATTTACAATAATAAAAGTCACTCAATATTAAGTTATATTTGTGTCTCAGTTTACAATTGTATTGTGAGAGTATTGGTAGTGTAATTATTGGGGCCTTTTCAGATTCGTATTTTATTGAATGTGTTTTTTAACTGCATAAAAGTGCCAAGAACCCAATGAAGATTCAGAAGAAATGGATGAATATTTCAGATTTTGAAATTTCTGAAATAGTGCCACTGATTCTATATTAAAAGCAGAATTTTTTTTTTTTTTTTCGCAAATATTTTATTCACATAATTATATTTTTTATTGATTCTTTTATCAGTGTGCTCTCTATAAACAGGACGAGTTTTGTAGGGATCCTGAGTCAAAATGTAATCTCCCAAAATCAAGTTGAGACTGCTCGGGAAGTCTGTCTTCTAGAAAAAGTAAAATTGTATGTGCATGTATAGGCACAAGGAAAATTAGTGTGGCCTTGACAATATGTACATTCGTTTTTTACACATACCAGGGTTTTTTGCTTTATTGAATTTCATTTTATTTTTAGTGAAATGTGCTAGTCAATTTCTGTGCATGTATGGAGTCGTTTAGTGCTAGCTTAGCACTTCTTAAATTAGACCTCTTAAATTTAGTTCATTTTTGATGAAAAGTGATATTTTCGACTTGAAAACTGCAAGTCTTGATTGCTTTGATACTGTACCTCAGGCAGACCTCTTTCAGATTTGTTCATTTTGTGATGATATCTTCAATTCACTAATTTTGATGAATAATTTTGGTAAAAAGTGATTTTTTCAACTTGTTAAAAACCGAAAGTCCAGGGGCCTCAACATATAAAATCGGGAAAAATAAGGGGTGGTCTTATACTAGAGGACAACCTCAGAAAAGATGATTTTTTTAGCTCCGCTCTCAACTTTGTCGAGCAGAGCTTATTATACGAGTGATTGTCGTCTTCCGTTGTCTGTAGTCTGTTTTTACATTTTTGTCTTCTTCTTCAAAACCGTTTAACCAAATGCTTTCATATTCACTACGTTCAATTACCCACCATAGACTCCGGTCAGTCAAAATTACTATTTTGAACTGTAGGCATTAATCAGCGATTCTGCCAGTGACGAAGAGATAGAAGGGGAAGCCCCATGACCCCAAGATTCTTCCACATGGCAGCACCATAGGCAGCCGTCAATCACTCTTCTTTTTTCTCCGCCTCGTCGGGGAATGTTTCTGAGCGGCTCTGCCTGGCTCTATTGCTTTTTCCTGTCCGGGTTTCTAGCGTGGGTCGTCGCTGCAGCCTCGGCATCCGACATTCTAGCTGGTAGGATAAGTTTTTCTTGTCTTTTTACCCTCGTGTCGTTTTCCCTTTTGTGTGTTATGCTTTTTCACAACAAAGAAATTAAAACCCTGCCCCACTACGTAACCACATGTTGATTTCATGGCGGC